AATACAGCCCAATATTACAAGATAAACAATTGTTTGGATTTGGGCCATCACAAGTTTTACAGGTTGGATCACAAATCATACATTATTTAGTGGCCTAATTATAATACAACCCAATATTACAAGATAAACAATTGTTTGGATTTGGGCCATCACAAGTTTTACAGGTTGGATCACAAATCATACATTATTTAGTAGCTTAATTATAATACAGCCCAGTATTACAAGATAAACAATTGTTTGGGTTTGGACCATTACAAGTTTAACAGGATGGATCACATGTTTGGCACTAGTTTATATTTTGCTGATAATAATACCCAGAAAAACATTGTAAGCAAATTTAATTATTATCACACTATTAACAGTTTATTTGGCACTATATTATGTTAAATAAATATTTTAAAGTGAGAATTCAAATTTAAAAAATTTAAAGAAAAGTTTTTTTTTGTCTTATTTAATTTGTATTTTATAATTTTAATTAAGGCTAGATAGATCTAATTAAAATTTTTGCTAAATTTATTGATCCGAAAAGAGAATGTATGATTCGGAGTATTTTAAGGCTAATAGGTGTAAAAAACCTTTCACGCCAAATTTTTCCGCTCTCCAAGCATTTCGCCTGGAGGGCTTCATTTTAAGACTTTTTTAAAAACACTTTTAACAAATTTTTATTAAATAAATTTATTCGGACTTTTTCAATAAATGTCTATTAGGTCTAGCCTTAATTTCAATTAAATAATATTATAATATTTAAATGAATCAAGAATATAATATGCTTCTCTCTATTAACAAATTTAATAATTAAATTTACCAATTATACATAGAGACCGATATAGTAAAAATAAATTTGATATTGTTTCCCAATATTATTATTATTATTAAATGGTGTTAATTTAATTGTTAAGCTATCTATATTTTATTATTACTTAAGGATATATTAATAATTATAAGAATATTTCAAATCTAAACCTAATTAGATATATCCAACTTAACTTTGATAAAATAATTTATTTATTTCAGCTATCGATTATAAATCTTAGTTAGGAGGCATATTCATATAAATAGTATACTCAAAATGATACGAATTTATAATTGTATTCCTATTTATTAAAAAAATATTTTGAAAAAATATTAAAATAACAAATTAAAAGATTAAAAATATTGTGAATTATATTTTTAATTTTAAAAATAAATTAATCTAAAGTTAATTTTTGATCAAGAAAAGATTTAAATATTTTAATCATAATTTTTCATTTGTAAATTATTTTTTTACGGGTTTTAAGGAGTATATTCTATTATTACATCACTATTTGAATTACAATTACTCCCTGATAAGTATTATTGATTGTCAAGTGGAAAAACATTTAAATTTAAGCAATTCATGTCTGAGAAATATTTTTTATAGCTGTCTATGTCAGATTATTATGCAGGCATTACATAATTTATTATGCAATAACTAACTTAAGTTTATAAAAAATGATTTAACAATAAAACAAAAATTCAAAAGAAGTTTACATTGGGGATTTAAACCTGCTTACTTCAATAATTATTGGTCGCAAGTTTAATATTGTATAGCATATAAGTATTTTAAGACTGTTTATTTATTAAAATAAATAAATTCTTTTTTACATAATTTATAAATCAAAAATTTGACTTTGTAAAATAACCAATAGAAATGATCTGATTTTCTAAGTTTTCATTGTTAATCCGATTTATTTGAAGGGTATTTAGATTAATAATTTTTTGCGATTAATTAAATATTATAAGATAAATTGATATCTTAAGTCTTTTTTAAATAAGTTATTATAATATTGGTTGCAAAGCAAGTAAAACATAAATTAATGCCATGTGAATTTATATTACATTATATTTTAATTTTAACTAAATAAACCCTTCTAAAGCTGTTTTTAGACACAAAATTCTTAAAGATAACCATTTAATTGAAAGCTATAGATATTAGAAGGGTTGGAGATTTAAAAGTTGCTCTAAATGATTATAAGTCAATGAAAGCTTTAAGTCCTTCATTATTTTCTTTAATTACAGAGTATTTCTATTTAAATTAAGACTTTCTGCGTGCTTTTAAAAGAGTAAGACACATTCTATCTATCTATTATTATTAAAAAAGAATTTGATGATTACAGATAATAATCAATTAATCTGATTATTTCTTAAAACTTGATCCTGCCTTAATTTTTGAAAAATAAAGCAGTAGCTATTACATAACAAATAAATAAATAAATTCATTTAAATAATTTCCATCCATTTTTAATCATCTTATAAAATAATTTTATAAACTAGCAATTAACCTTTGATCCTATGTATTTATTAGCTACATGTATGTCAAAAAATTTATTTCTAGTTTTTCTTATGGATAATAAATTAATTTTGGTGAAGCATTCTATTATTACTAAGAATAATTAGATTATTTTAGATAGTAATCAACTAATCTGATTATTTTTGAAAACTCAATCCTGCTTTTAATTTTTGTAATGTAAAGCAGAATTTTTAACTAAACTAATGAATACATTCATTTAGATATTTTCCTTGAATTTTTAAAATATAAATGATTTTTAACAATAATCTATTTTTATTAATTAATAAAATTACTAAAATATATCTTTTACTCTTTGTATTTGTTATTTTACTGATATTATTTGATATAAAATCTAGTGAACGATTAATAAAAATGGAGGTAAATAAATAAAGTAAACATATAACTATCTAATAGCAATAAGAGATTGTTAAAAATTAAATAAATCTATTTAAAAACTGAAATAAAAAGAAATGCTATCTATCTTTAAATAAAACAATTTATTTTTTAACATATACATAATGCCTAAAATTTTAGTTTGAAAATAATAACAATTAATCTAATTCATCACATTAATGGAGATTAAAAATTAAATTTTAGGATTTTTTTCATCTCATTCTTAATAATAAAATTCTCGGAGTATTCATTACTATCATGATAGGTTGAAGATTTAAAAATGGAGTTAAATGGTTTTAGTTATTTTTATACATAGGAGAGGATGGATTGTAAATTATTGATTATGCTTTTCTACCTTTAATGCTTGAAATTAAAATAACTTAGACCCAATCAAGAATTAATAAAAATAATCTTACTATTCATTAAATGAAAGTTAATTAATATTTCTATTTAGGTTCTAAACATTAGATCCAATCTACAATTTCATCTTAAGTGATATTTACATTCGAAAAAATTAATACTACCCTATCCTTCGATAATATCAACCAACTGGAACTGAATCGCTGGGGGAGCCATAAATTTTGATAAAAAGCTCAAAATCTTAGTTTTTTCACCTTAATACGAGGGAGGGCGAGAAAATGGATAATATGGTAATAAATACATAATCCAATTATTAACTTGTTAAATAAAAGTTTTAAATAACATTTAGACATTTTTATAGTTTTATATGCAAAATTATATTATCTAATAAACAGTTTTTATAAGACATATTTAAATTTTAGATCTGTTGGCAAATATATACGTGTATGATAATAATCATAAATTAGTATCTAATAATTAATATCTTGTGGATTTAATTAATTAATTCAAACATTCATAAATTTTGGTAAATCACTATTTTATTATTTGGTAACTGCGAAATGATCTTAATTAATATTTAGTTATCAGATTGTTTGGGATTTTTTTGTTTTTGTTTGAACAAAATATCCTGCCAATTTGAATTCAAGCAGTAGGTAGCTATTACATTACTGATAAATTAATTATTCGCTTCTTTTTCATCTGCTCCTTTATTTTATATTTATTACTTAGTATATTAAAGCTAAAATAAAAATGTTAAATAATTTTATTTAAAATTATGAAATATTTTATTTTGAAGCTAAATATCTATTTATCTATTTAAAAACAACTATTTTATCAAAATTAAAAGAAAATTATTTTTAAAATTACACAATCAAAAAATAAATAGGTTGATTTAATTAAAATCCTATGAAGACTTAATAAAAGATTGACAGTAAATAAGGTTACAAAAATTAATTCGAAATCTTTAACTCCTTTTGATAGGCTCTATTTTAACTCATTTTGATACAATCTATTAATTCATTATTAATATAATTTTAAACTTAAAAATAATTTTTTTCATATATAAATTCAAAATAGTTATTTGAAATAGATTTCAATATAATCTAAATCCTCTTCTATTTATTAAGTTTATTAAGGATTTTTATACAGATGTTTCAAATATAACCATAAAAGTTAAAATTAAAAGTAAAACTTGATTTCTCCCTGAGGTTTTATTTAAATCATGGTATCTAATTAATTAATCATGATAAATAAAAAAAGGATAGAAATATGATTGATTGATGGATAATATTTAAGATTAAAATATAACTGGCATATAAAAATTTGGCATTTATATAATTTAATAACATTTAATATAACATTAAAAATTTCAAATTATTTGATAGTTTTTGGAGAAACCAGAGTGTTTGCTTAAGAGGATTTAATTTATTTAAGTAAATTTAATTTTTTTATTTTTTTTAATACTTTATTTAATTACAAAAATATGAATGATATTTATAAATATAAAATCAATAATAAAATCTATCTATTCTATATATTTATATTTTAGGTTAAAAACACTTTTTCGAAATATTAAATAATAAAATATATAATATTATTCAAACATTTTATATTTATTCATCCTTTTTTCACCAGTTATTTATCATTAGAAATGAAAGACTACTAATCTTTTTGATTTACGACACTTGCTTATTACTTTGAATTCTTATGATTTATTCATTGAAAATGAGCTAAAAATTTTAAAATAAATTTGTCTAAATTTTAAATAAATATTAAAATAGAATAAACTTTTAAATTAAAAATTATTCTTTAAATTAATAAATAAATAAAATAAATAATATTAGTGGAATAAAAAAGATAAAAAATTAAAATAAATAAAAGCTATCAAATAAATTCAAAGAGCTTTATTGTTTTTAATTAGTTTTTATAATTAAAAATATCACAATCCAAAACAAATAAACTGTTTTTACCTAAGATAAAGTGTCAAATTTGAGAGATTAATGCAATTTGCTAAACCAGAACCTAAGCCTGATGCACCCAATGCACCAATTTAATTGTTACTTTTTAAATATTGAAGAAAAATATATGATTAAATAATTTATTAGAAGGAAAAAATGAGGAAAAAATATGAAATAATAAGATTAATTAATAATAAAAGCAAAAGTTGAAAATAAAATGATGAGCTAAATTAACAAAGAAAGAACAAAAAAAAGCAAGCTCAATAAAAAGAAAAAGAAAAAAGAGCTTTATTGTTTTTAATTAGTTTTTATAATTAAAAATAACACAATCCAAAACAAATAAACTGTTTTTACTTAAGATCAAGTTTCAAATTTGAGAGATTAATGCAATTTGCTAAACCATAACCTAAGACTGATGCACCCATATCACCAATTCTATTCTAACTTTTTAAATATTGAAGAAAAAATATATGATTAAATAGCTTATTAGAAGGAAAAAATGAGGAAAAAATATGAAATAATAAGATTAATTAATAATAAAAGCAAAAGTAGAAAATAAAATGATGAGCTAAATTAACAAAGAAAGAACAAAAAAAAGCAAGCACAATAAAAAGAAAAAGAAAAAAGAGCTTTATTGTTTTTAATTAGTTTTTATAATTAAAAATAACACAATCCAAAACAAATAAACTGTTTTTACTAAAGGTGAAGTGTCAAATTTGAGAGATTAATGCAATTTGCTAAAGCACAACCTAAGCCTGATACACCTTCATCACCAATGTTATTCCTTCTTTTTAAATATTGAAGAAAAAATATATGATTAAATAGTTTATTAGAAGGAAAAAATGAGGAAAAAATATGAAATAATAAGATTAATTAATAATAAAAGCAAAAGTAGAAAATAAAATGATGAGCTAAATTAACAAAGAAAGAACAAAAAAAAGCAAGCACAATAAAAAGAAAAAGAAAAAAGAGCTTTATTGTTTTTAATTAGTTTTTATAATTAAAAATATCACAATCCAAAACAAATAAACTGTTTTTACTAAAGATCAAGTGTCAAATTTGAGAGATTAATGCAATTTGCTAAACCAGAACCTAAGCCTGATGCACCCATTGCACCAATTTAATTGTTACTTTTTAAATATTAAAGAAAAAATATATGATTAAATAGTTTATTAGAAGGAAAAAATGAGGAAAAAATATGAAATAATAAGATTAATTAATAATAAAAGCAAAAGTAGAAAATAAAATGATGAGCTAAATTAACAAAGAAAGAACAAAAAAAAGCAAGCACAATAAAAAGAAAAAAGAGCTTTATTGTTTTTAATTAGTTTTTATAATTAAAAATATCACAATCCAAAACAAATAAACTGTTTTTACTCAAGGTAAAGTGTCAAATTTGAGAGATTAATGCAATTTGCTAAACCAGAACCTAAGTCTGATGCACCTTCATCACCAATTTTATACCTTCTTTTTAAATATTGAAGAAAAAATATATCATTAAATAGAGTAAGTTACCATACAAATTTACAAAAAGCGAGTTTTATATACCAGTTTTTATATTTTATAAAATTAAAATTTTAAATATTTTTTATGAATTTTTTTCCATCATAGGTTTTCAAAATTTATTTTTTCAAAAAAAAAGATATGTTATGATTTCTAAAAATTAGCTTTATTAATAATTTTATTAAGATATGAATTAAATAGGTATTTCACTCAAGTTAATTTGGAGGAATAAATGAAGAAAAAGATGATAAGATTAATTAATAATTAATAAAATTAACAAAGAATGAAAAAATAAGAAATCATAATAAAAAGAATAAAGAAAACAAATCGAATAAATTAAAAGAACT